CTTGGGGTGACCTCCTCACTGTCCACTTGGCATCTGGTGGCCCAGGGCAGAACTTAGGTCCAGGTGAGCCCAGGTGTGGCACCACCCTAGGGGCTGGGGACGTGATGACTTCCCCACTCAAGGAGCCCCTAGAGGCTGTCCACATCTCTGCAACCTCACTGGCTTCTTTCTGGCTCCCCAAGAGATATGCCAGACACTCTGTCCATCTCCCATAAGTTGTTTAGATTTCTCACAACAGTCCTGGATCATAGCTAAGGAGGACACTGAGTCGCAGACAGGGGAGGTGACTTTCAGGGTCTCACAGCAGGTAAGAGTCAGAGCCAGTGCTTGAATCCCGAGTCTGCTGACGCCAACGCCTCTGCTCCAAGGCAGGGCAGGCAGTGTTGTACCCATTAGAGAACACCGAGGCCCACTCGATAATTAGCCGGCATTCACGTGGGTCTTTATGAAGCTCTTGCCTGTAATCTCATTTAATTCTCACAACAATCTGGCGAGGTAGGTATTAGCTCCACTCTACAGATGAGGAAACTGAGGCTTGCACAGGAAGTGACTCACCACGGCTATACTTCCTGTGAGTTAGGAGCCAGGTTCTCCCGATGCCCAGCCTCCTGTCCTCTGTGCCTTCTGCAGGCAGGTGCGCGCCCTCCTCGCGATGCCAGTGGTGAAGGTGGGTGGAGGAAGCAGTGTGGGCCATTGGGAGGCATGACCCATGGCTGTCCACATAAGCCCCTGCCTCCCTATGGAGGCCGGCCTTGCTCATGCCTCCTCTCCACAGGGCAGAGTGCCCTCTTTCTCCCCTCTCTGGCTCATTACCCCAAGTTGTTATTCGCGCTCATCACTGCCTGGTGTCACATCCTCCCTTTACCTGTAGGTGCTTTCTCTCACCCTCAGCAGAATCTAAGTCCCCAACAGGTGAGGCTCAATCTGCTGTGTTCATGCTATTGCCCCAGTTCCTAGTGCAGTGTGTGGCCCCTCGTAAGTGCCCCATGCTTCAAGTCTTACCTCCATCCTACCCACCTCCTCCAGAAGGCCACTTTTTGAGCCCTTTCCAACTCCTATGTTCTCAGCTTCTGTTTTGAGTGAGTGTGAACCTGCACTGCTGGGTTGATGAGCATTCTGTGTTGGGGCCTGCCCCTTTCTAACTCCTTCTGAGTCTTTGTGCTGGCACTTGCCCCCAGGCACCGTGCCCACTCTCCTCCCCGTCGCCTCCCATATCTTGTCTTCAGGGCCTCATCGCCTCCTTAGAGTCCCCCTGCCACCACCCTCGCTCTGCTCGCTCTTTTCCTGACACACAACACTGTCTGCTCCTTATTTAGACCCCTTCCCACTCCTGTTGACACTAGAATCAATGGCAGTAGGTACCATTTAATCACCTAACAGTTGCCAAATGCACCTGACACGCATTTCACTTAATCTTCCAAAGAACCCTGTGAGGTGGGGACTGTTCTCACTTTGCAGATGAGAAAACTGAAGCTGAGAGGCCAAGTGACTTGCCCAAGGTCACAGAGCCACATAGGGGCAGAGCTGGCCCAGGGCCCTTTCTCAGATTAAGGGGGGAGTCCAGGAAGGACTTCCTTCCTCAGAGGAAGCCCAGGAAACTGGGCTGGTGTTGTCAGCCCTGGGTGCGACCTCACTGGTCACTCTGCTATCAGCTGTTGGGCAGGCAGGTGTTGGGACACACCCGTCCCCACCTTCACCCCGAGCTGGGCTCTGGGGCTCAGGGGTGTTTGGCCCATTGCTGCGGGCAGCTCTGGGTTAGCCCTTGCAGCAGGAGCTGGACTTATGGGAGCCTGTGGGTGGAGGTTCACATTCCTCGCACAGCCAGTCTACAGGAAGATGACCCCACCAGACCTGAAGTGTGGTTTAGGGCAGAGCGGGCAGCCCTCCCCCAGCCGGGGGTGTGTTCCTGAAGTCTGTGTGTGGACTGGCTTGTGTGGTGGGGGCCAGCCCTCAGTAGCGTGGCATCATGGAAATGATGAGGGACTCAGAGCCCAAATACCTGCCTTGAGTCCTGGCTCCCCTACATCCTGACCTCAGGCTAGTGGTTTCACCTCACCTCAGTTTCCGTCTCTGTGGAATGGGCTTGCACATGCCTGCCTTGTCTACCTTCCCCGGGAGTGCTGTGGGACAGCGAAAGGAGGGGGTTTCTTTCTGGGAGTAAGAGAGCTGCTCTGGGCCTCTCCAGCAGCTCCACTCCCTCTGCCCTCCCCAAATCTAGGAGCAAATGAGCTGTGTAAATTAAATGGTGCGCGGGAGCAGCTAATTGAATTGGCTATTGGGATCTTTTCTTCACAGGACCAGTGAAGTTACTCTATGGCCTGTCTTCTTTCCCTCCATAAAAACAAGACATCTATAGGTAGCTGGTTGGTCTCATCACAGCTGGGGAAACTCACGCTCAGGGAGGGCAAGACAGGCTCTCCCCCACCACATCTCCGGTGTCCTCAGTGATGGGGCAGGGGGCCTTCCTGTTGGGCAGCTCAGTCTAACTTGGGCATCCAGGCCTTCACCTGCCTCTGGGGCTTATGAGTGTGTTCATTCATGCAGTAACCTCTGTGAGCTCCTTCTCTTGCCAGGCTCTGCAGGGCTCTGGGCACAGAGGTGAATCAGGTACCAGCCCTAGCACCTAGGAGTGACTGGCAGAGGAGGATGACCAAGTAAATAGACACCGGCTGCAGGGGGACTGGTGCAGAGGGAGCAGGGTGCTGAGGAAGGCTGCAGGAAGGGTGGCAAGGGAGCAGATTGGAGCTGAGACTTGGCTAGATGCTGCGGCTCCCTGGTGGCACCACCCAGGATTTGGAAAGAGGCTGCGTGTGATGGTGGTGGCAATGGTGGCATCTGATTGCAGCATTGGCATCCACACCAACTTCTGCTGGACCCCTCCCAGCCACAGCCGGGCAGAGAAGGTGCTGACAGCTGGGTAGTGAGGGCTGGCAGCAGCCTAGGGTGCCCAACCGAACCTTCAGTTACCATCTGCCGACCCCTGAACCAGGGCTGTTGCAAGATGGCAAGTCTCTAGGTGTATCCTCAGTTGGCCAGGGTAACACAGGAGTCAGTGGCAGAACTGGGACTGGAGCCCAAGGCCTACTGCTACTCACTACACAGGATGCCTGCTCCTAGCCCACCACTCTGAAGGAGAATGGGTCATTCATTTCCCTGTCACCTCCCAGCCTTCCCCCACTCTGTTGTGGGGAGAAGAGAGAAGAAACTTGGGGGGACCTGCAACGTAGGGACAGAATGCAGGCCTGGAATTTGGCCCTGTGTTGAGTCCAACTCTGCCTCTCTCTGGCTGAGTGACCTTGGTCATGTCACTTCCCTGAGCCACCTTTGTCACCATCAAAATGAGAGTGACGATGCCAAACTTACAGGCCTGGTGAGGAATTGGAGCGCCTATGGCAGTGCTTTGGAGGCCCCAAGGCTGCACGGGCATGTGGGCAGCGTGCCTGTCGCCCAGCCCTGCAGGGAGGAAGCCCGGGGGCCTGAGGAACTGCCCAAGCAGCGACCTGCTCTTCCTCTTGCTCAGCAAGCCTTTCTGAGTGTTCGCTCTAGGCCAGGCCCTGGCAGGCCACTGGGGACATGGCAGTGAGCCCTCGCCGTCTTGCCTGGAGTCACATAGTGAGTGGAACCAAGGTTTGAACCTGAGTCTGACTGCTCTGCTGTTCCAAGCCCATTCCCTCTGATCCATTAGACTAGCTAAACAGGACAGGACTGGCCTGCCTGCCTTGAGGCCTGGCGTGATCTATGTGACTCTCAAAGTCAAAGCAATTGTTAACTTCCAGGTGATGTGGGTTATGTCCCTTTCTAAACTGCTGTGACCTTGTGGCTCTGCAGATTTTGGAGAAATGCAAAGGCTTGAGTGTAAGCCCCCAAGCCCCTCCCCCTCCCAGCCATAGGCCAGGGTGAAAGATCATGAGACCCTCAAGGACAAGATTGTGACTGAGTGCTCGGGCCTTGCAGAGTGGGTGGTGTAAAGAAGTGTTTGCCAGCACACACTGGGCACTTAGTGAAGATGTGTTGAGCAAGGAGCATGCAGTTAGGGCTCAGCAGACGTGGGCGTTTGGAGCAGCCCATCCTTTGGTCCAGCTGCCAGAAGGAACGTGGTATGGATTAGGGACCTCGCCCGTGCTTGTCCCCAGTGCTGCCTCTCCTGCCTCACCAGGCTTTCTGGTCCCGCTGCTCATCAGCCGCTGGAGTCCAGGGCGTCATCCTGGGGGCACAGCCACAGAGCCAATTAAATGGGCACATCTTGTCCTAACTTCTAGGCTTGGAGCTTGCTTGGTAGCGACCATAATTGCAGCCTCCCTGCCCCAGGCTGCCCAAAGCTCACTGGTCACTGGGTCCTTTGAGGAAGCAAAGGCTCCTGCCTGATTCCTCTCTGGGCCCTAAGCTTAGGGCACTGAGATGAAGCTGAAAGTGTCAGTCCCTCTGAAGGTGGTAGTGGTGGTGACGGTGGTGGTGGTGGGGTGGAGGCAGGAGGGCTCAGCTCCCTGGGGAAGGGTGTCAGCCCTGGGGACAAGGGGGTGGGGCAGGGATTGGGGGTGCTCAAAGTACACTTGGAGGAAAAAACATTGCACATGGGATGTTGAACCTCTGTCCTTGGCCTCACAGGCACAGATAGCAAAGATTAAATATTTGTACTAGGTCCAGATAAAGCATAAGGACAGGAGTTTGATTGGGGTGGAAGGAAGGGAAGATAGCTGGCGATTATGGAGAGCTCCCCCTGGCCTCTTTGGATACCTCATTTGGGCTCCAAATGACCCTGGGGGGGGACACCATTCCCATTGGGTATGTGTATAGAAACTGGGGCACAGGGAAGCACATGAACAGCCCAGAATTACAAAGCTATTGGGTGGCCAGGCTAGGATTTGAACCCAAGTCTGCCTGATGTTGTGGCCCAGGCTCCTCTCACACCTGGGAAGGTGCCTGTGGGAGGTGGGTCGGTATTGGGGACTGTAAGGCTGGACGGAAGGGTGGCAGCAGGCTCACGTGCCCCTCTGCTGCAGGCACTGGCTCCAGCATCCTCTCTGCCCTCCAGGACCTCTTCTCCGTCACTTGGCTCAACAGGTCCAAGGTGGAAAAGCAGCTGCAGGTCATCTCGGTGCTGCAATGGGTCCTGACCTTCCTCGTGATGGGTAAGCCGGGGCTCCAAGGGCAAGGGCAGGTAGGGGCCACCTCCCAAGCAGGGTTAGAGCAGGAGCTCTGCTCTTCAGGGCTGTGGGGTGAGAGTAGGGTCCCCGATCGAGTGCTCTGCTCCTAGGCGTGTGTGAGGGCTCGGTGAGATTCAGTGGGAGCTGGTGGTGTGGTTCCCATGCCTACCAAAACAAAGATTTTTCAGCAGGTGTGCTGCTTCGCCTTAGGGTGGTGTGATGCCCAGCTCTACCACAGACAGGCTCTGTGACCTTCTGTGGCTTCCTTGAGCTCTCTGAAACTTAGTTTCCTCATTTCGAATGTGAGGACAATGCTGCCCACTTCACCTGGCTTTTGGGGGGATTGAAGATAAGGAAGCACAGGGCCTGGTCGTGGTGGGCCCCCGTGATATGGGGGCTGCTGGTGGGAAGTGCCCTCAGACTCCACTCCCGGCCTTCACCCACCATCTGCTGAACACAGGCCCCAGCTGCTTCCCATGGCCCGTTTAATGCTTGCTCCCCTCTCTCTCTCAGCACCTCCCACGTCAGTGCTCTGGTTGGACTTGGATGGGGAAAAAACGACATCTTAATCTTGACCCATCTCGTCTGAAAATTTAGCATTTCCTTCTTTACAAATGTAACAGAGCACAGTAGTGTTAGCAGTACCTGCTGACGGGTCCCGGTTGCTGTCTCATCCCCTGGGTTGCTGTCCAGACCACAGTCAGGATGTTGTGGATCTGCTGGGAGGAGGGAAGGGCCTGGGCCTGGCCCCACCCCTGCACAGTGGCTCCCCTAGCAGCCTCTTTTCTTCCCCAGGCCCCTGTCTTCAGCATAGTAAGTGGTTTCCCCAGTGTGTTAGGGCAGACAGACCTGCAGAGCATCGTAGAGTACATTCCAGTGCTGTGGGCGGCCCCTTCCTCAGGATTGTCGAGGCTGATGGGGATTACCAGGAGTTACTGTGCCCCTGCTGAGCAGCTGTCCTTCCAGTAGGCCTGGGGGCCTCTGAGACCACATTGCCAGGGCAGCTCCGTGCTGCCCCTCCCTCCCTTTGCAGGGCAGAGGCGTGGCCAGAGCTGCCATTTATCCAGCCCCCACAGTGTACCAGGCACTTGACATGTCTTTCCTTGACTTCCCACTTCCCAGGTGAGGAAATGGAAACTCACAGAGGTTCAGTGACTCTGAGACTGTGCCGCTCGTTAAGTGGCAGAATTGGGAATTGAGCAGAAGCCCAGAGCACTTACTGGGTAGCCCAGAATTAATAGACCTAGTCTGAAACAGCCAGTCTTCACCTTTAGGCCCAAGAGAGGGCTCTAGGGGAGCCCCTAAAATCAACCCCTACAACTAGGTGCAAAATTATAGGTGAGAGTATGCACATTTTTCTGGGGTGAAGGGCAATTGCTGTCCTCAGATTCTTACAGGGACATATGGCCTCAAAAAGATGAAAAAACATTGGTCTGGGGAACAGAGCAAATTAAACTGGCTCCCTCGGATCAAACCCCCAACTTGGCCTGCATTCAGCCACTTATTAACATCCTGGAGTAGAAAGCACAGTGTAACCCCCTCCATGGTCAGATAGGAAGCAGTCGGGGCAGAGCCTTGCTCAGAATCACATAAGAAGGAAGTACTAGGACCAGGACAAGACCCCATGGACTCCAGCCTCCCAGACCCCTGCTAGTCTGCTGCACCAGCTCCCTGAGTCCCCGTTTGCACTGAGAAACACCACTATCCCTGTCTTAGGGGGTTGGAGCTTGGCTGTTGGGGAGCTGAGCAGCTGGTAGAACTGCAAGCCATGCTGCACGTGACAGGGTCTGGCCCCGAGCTCTAGGTTAACAATCGATCCAGCCTAACCACAGCCCTGAAACTGGCCCAGCGTCTTCCCAACGCCCTTGCGTAGGGGGAGCCAAGCCTGGCTGGGCCTGCAGGTCTGCTCTGCTGCTGCTGATTATTGCCCTGTGCAGCCCCAGCCACTCCCTCCCACCGCTGCCCAAATCGGCTGTCGGGGGCTTGCCTGGTGCGGCAAAGGCTGCTGTGGCCCAGTCAGCCTCCCCCTGGAACAGAGTGACCTTCACCATTTCTGTGCCATGGGCCCCTCTGGCATTTTGGTAAAGGCTATGAATGTTTCTCAGTGTTTTTAATGTGTAATGAAAAGTACACTGGAGGGCCGGCCCGGTGGCGCAAGCTGTTAAGTGCACGCGCCCCGCTGTGCCGGCCCGGGGTTCGCCGGTTCGGATCCCAGGCGTGCACCAATGCACCGCTTGTCAAGTCATGCTGTGGCGGCGTCCCATATAAAGTAGAGGAAGATGGGCATGGATGTTAGCCCAGGGCCAGTCTTCCTCAGCAAAAAAAGAGGAGGATTGGCAGATGTTAGCTCAGGGCCGATCTGCCTCACAAAAAAAAAAAAAAGACTGGATTCTAAAGGAAACCAATGATATTGACACAAATATGCACACATTAAGAAAGCGAGTTAGATATATAGTAACACATGTGCTTTATTATTACATTAAATAAAAAGTTCCAGCAGCAGGCATAATCATTATTATAATTCTCCAGTAGTGGTTAGAATAAGTGATTTTTCAGGCTCTGCAGCTGCTGTAAAGGTGATGTGAAAACACCTTTGTTTTCTCTCGGTGTCACCATCAGGTTCTCTGCGCTGCTGTGCTCCGTTCCATTCATAAAGGGAGGAAATACTTATAAATTTCCGGAAGAGATGGGTGAAGATTAAGATGTCATTTTTTCCCCCGTCCGAGTCCCCAGATCTCCAGATTGGACACTTACTGTGTGTTAGGTCCTCTTCACACATCATCTCGTGTCATCTTCCAATACCCTGTGGGGAAGTGGAGGCTCAGGGGTGGATCTGGCCGGGGAGCGGCAGGGCCACAGCTTCCTGGAAGAGCGCATCCATGCTCTTCACAGGTCTGCGGCTGCCGCCCTGCTGACGGGCCTCGGGGACCAGAGTTTTGAGTCACGAGCTTCACTGTGATGTGTGGGGGGCACATGATTGTGAAGGAGGTCCTGAGCCTTCCGCGTGGGGAGCCAACCCGGTCTTGAAGCAGCTGTTTACATCTCATGGACCCGTGGCTGTAGTTCCTGCTGCAGCCCCAGGACCTACGAAGGTGGAGCAGGCGCCCATTGTTCAGAGGACCCGGATTAGGCTCTGAGAAAGGAAGGTGTTTGATGGGTTTAGTTCATTTTTTGCTCAATAAACCTTTCCTGTGTTGGTTGCTGGGGCTGGAGGGGTTAATCTGACCGGGTTCCAGCTCCCAAGGAGCTCGGGGCTGAAGGGGTCTCTTCTGGAAGGGGTCTCGTGGGAGAGGCAGGTAATGCTGAGACAGATGGTGAGGGCTGTGAACACATGAGGGGTAGGGGCGTGGCCCCCCAGCTGAGAAAGTCCCGGACTAGAATGCAGTCTCTGGACTCGCAGTCTGTTCTCTTTTCCTCCATCCAGGCTGCTTAGTGGCAGAGTGAGGACAGTGGGTGGGGGGTTCCCACCTTCCCAGAGAGCCCAGACATCTAGGCAGTGGGGCCTGGGGCTCAGCCCGCTCTGGTTGCTCTACCCATCATCTAACTTTCTTAAGTTAGGGGTTTGATGGCAGCTAGGTTTCTGGGCTGCTCAGCCCCAAGCCTGAACCTTGGTGGCCCGCCAGGCCCACCCCGAGCTTCCACCTAGCCTCCGAAGGAGCTTGGAAACTTGTGGAGTCTAGGCAGCTAGAGTGGCCTTTTTTCCAGGCCTAAGAAGGGGGACCAGAGGCAAACTGCTCAACAATGTGAGGGACTTTGTAAGTGGCCTTAGTTTAGACATAGCCATTCACCAAGGTGCCTATAGTACTTCACAGTTTGCCTTGAACAGGGTTTTGTAGGCTGCAACTGCTTCCCTAGAGACTCGTCTTCCCTCTCTATGATGTGACACTCCTAAGCTGGTCCTGAACAACTGGGCACCTGGTCATTCACTGTTCCCGGCCCCTCCCAAGATAGTTGTGCCATCTTTAGCTTCCTTGGGGAGAGGCTAGAACAGGACTGGATTGAGGATGACAGGCGACCACCATTTTGCTGTCCTTAGGCTCATGGAGAGTCTGTGTCTGATCCTCACCTCTCCCTCGGGACACCACAGGAGGCTGGTGAAAAGAAGGGGGTGTAGAATCCAGAGCTAGGCAGCCCTACAGCGCCCATGACCAGCACAATGCCCAGCAGAGGGTGGGCACACAGCAGGGGTTGGCTTTTCTCCCTGGGCAGTGGAGAGGGTGCTGGATGGAGGCCATGCTTCTACCAAGCATGAGTACCTTCTGCCCCTGGCCCTGTGCTGAGTACCGGGGGGCAAAGAAGGTGTGGCTCCCCTAGTGTGGAGAGCTCAGAGGTGAGAGATCCATGTGGGAGGATAGTTTGATATTGGAGAACAGTTCTTGAAGAGGTGAGGTCTGAGTTAGGCCTGGAAGACTGGGTAAAAACTGGAAAGGTAGACACCCTGATGAGGGCATCTAGGGGGTAGCTACAAGGTAAAGCAGGCTTGGCATGGACTTCTTTTCTGTGCCCGGAACAAAGTGACCACATGGAAGCTGGCCCCAAGGAGTCTTCTGAGGGTCCTGCTGGTTTGTTTTTTTTGAGGAAGATTCACCCTGAGCTAACGTCCGTGCCAGTCTTCCTCTGTTTTGTGTGGGGGTCGCTGCCACAGCCTGGCCACTGACAAGTGGTGCAGGTTGGGGCCTGGGAATCAAACCTGCAAACCCGGACCGCCAAAGCGGAGTGCGCCGAACTTAACCACTATGTCACCGGGCTGGCCCTCTGCTGGGTTTTTTGAGAGGGAGGCTCATGGGCTCTGGGCTTTGGCCTGGGACTGCCTGGCGCTCTATTATGTTGGAAGGGGCTAGCCCTCCTCCTGGGCGGGAATCTCACATCTCAGGTGCCTCCAGTGGCAGAATGGGGCTTTTAATGCTTGGTGAATTTCTAAAGCCTGGGGCAGATTATGGACTTAATAGTCAGACTCGTGTTTGAATCCTGGCTCTGCCACTGCCCTGCAGGGTGACCTTGGGGAAGTTACCTGCCCCTAGAGCCTCAGTGTTCTCGTCTCTAAGATGGGGTAGAAGTCACCATGCCGCACACTTGAAACGGTGATTCAGCCAGTTGTTCCTCATCCACAGTAACTGTGTGGGGCACTGGGGTGGGGAGAGCATGCGAGGAGGGGGTGGAAGGAACAGCTCCGAGGACAGCTTCACAAGAGGCTCAAGTCCACTCCTCTGGCACTCCTGCCCAGACAACAGGGAGCCTGCATGCCCCTCAGCACCAGGACAGCCTATGAGTGTGTAGGAGCTGAGGTTCTGGTCCCTGGGAGCTCTCTCCTCCCCAGGCTGGGGCTGGGGGTCCCCCTGCCCATGGCCCTGGCTGTGCCTAGCTTAGTGCCACAGTAAACGCTCACTCAGTCACTCAGTGAGGCTTTGCCCAGAGGGGAGACTGAGGCCCACCCAGGAAGGACGGGGCCTGACCCGTGGCCCTCTGCCCCCCCAGGAGTGGCCTGCAGCGTCACCCTCATATACACGTTCTGCACCGATTGCTGGCTCCTCGCCGTTCTCTACTTCACCTGGCTCGTGTTTGACTGGAACACGCCCAAGAAAGGTAGGAGCACGGGGCCCTTGCCCCACGCCCTTGCCCTTGGACACTCCCCTGCACAAGCTGCCCTGTTGTTACCACCTGCTGTGTGAAGAGCACTGGGCTAAGCCAGGGTGTGGCTGTGGGGGGTGGTTCAATCAAGGGATTGCAGAACATGAGGGAATGAGCTTGGGAAGGGGGAAGATGCTGCTGAGGGCAACAGTCACCAACCTCAGGGCTCACACTGGCTCTGTCTCATCTCCCTCGCCCAAATGTTGCCTGGCCCCTGCTCCTTCCCAACACTGTATTTTGTTCCCTGGAAGGTGGCAGGAGGTCACAGTGGGTCCGAAACTGGGCTGTGTGGCGCTACTTTCGAGACTACTTTCCCATCCAGGTAAAGACTTGTGGGTGTTATCTTGGGAGGGTGGGAATGGATGGGAAGTCCGAACTCAGACCTTAACTGCCCCTCGTCCACAGTGACCACGTGTGCTGAGTTGAACCATGTGACACCTCTCACCGTTCATGCTCTGCCCCACTTTATGCAGGATTTGAGGCAATTTAGGATCCTTATAATGCCATACAAAGTAAAAAGAAAAATCAAAACTTAGGGTGAAAAAATACTAGTATTTTAGCCACAAGGGTCAGCAAAGTTGCAGTGGTTGAGCTTCATGGTCAGCTCTGAGCTTCCTGGCAACCAAGGCCAAAAGGGAAACATGATAGTTATTGGTTCTAGTTTTGGGAAAGGAAGAAGGTTGCTAGTTCCTTAGGAAAACAAGACTTGTTCTAGCATTTGGATCTAAAAGATGTTTCAGACACTGAGATCCTGAGTGATGTGAGGAGCAGTTATAACAGCAGATATTATGGCCATTGCTTGTCTGCCTTTCAGTGAATATTAAAGGCATAACTTAAAGTGGAGGTGATTTATCAAGAGCAATACTAAGGTAGTCCCAAGTCCATCTGGCCTGAACCAAGGATAGAACTTAAAGCAATAGATGTGAGGGGCTTGCTTTCCTTCTGAAGCTCTTACAGAAATATCACTTCTCTCAGACAGTCACGGGTGGGTTGCTGGGGGTCATGGCCACGGGAAATAGGGCCCAGGAAATTTGATGTGCAGTGAAAGAAGTGCCTGGGGAAGGCTTCTGGAGGAGATGCTCCTAGAACTCCGTCTTAAAGATAAGTAGCACTGAAGAGGCAAGGAAAACAATGAGAGTAGAAGCACCTGAGTTGGAGAAGAAGCCTGGCGTGTGGGAAGTGGTGAGCAGGTGGAATGAAGGGGGAGCGTGTTTATTTATTGGGAGCCTTCTAGGAGCCAGCACCTGTGCCCACGGAGTCTCCTTTAACCCTCACAGCACCCCTGTAAGGCAGATATTCACTTTATCCCCTTTTTACAGATGAAACGTGGAGTCAAGAGTAGCAAAGCTAAATGAGGCTAGTAAGGGGCTTAGCGGAGATTCCAGTTACTGTCTTGCCTCAAAGTCTGGGCTCCTCCCACCACAGTGCGCTGCCTCTCTGTGCAGCAGAGCTGTGGGAAATAAGCTTGGACAGATACTCAGGCGTCCGTCAGCCTTGGAGGACGGAGGCAGGAAAAGTTCACCATGACCCTGGGCAAAGCATTGTCCCTTCCAGGGTGCAGTCTTCCCTTATGAAGCAAGTTTAGACCAAGTTGGTCTCTGGGTTTCCTTCCTGCTGCACCATTGGCTGCTCTGGGACCCCCACACTGGTCTTCAGAGTGCCCATCTTCCCTAGGGCCAACCTCGAGCTCCTGACAGAGTAAATGGTGCCTTGGTCTGGCTTTCAGTCTCGTCTCTGTCTGGCCCCGTGCCTGTGGTCTGCAAGCTAGCTTGGCAAGGCAGAGGCCTCTGGGCCCTGGTGCACATGGGCAATGCTGGTGGATTGTGGGTAACTCTGGCAGAATCCTAAAGGTTTTCCCTGTAGGAGCAAGACCTGTCTGGCCAGCTCACTGAGCACCCAGCCCCGGCACACCCTAGGTGCTGAGGTAACCCAGCAGGAGGCAGCGTGTGTGAGGGTGAAGTTCTTGTGCACCATGCAGGGTGGCGTATGTTTGCTGTTGTGAGTCAGCGACCGAGACATGCTGGCGTGCTGCCTAGGGGAGGTGGCTGGGTAACCCTGCATTCCTCCTCTGCACTCGGTATTGTGGGGGCGGCCCCAGGCCTGGTTCCCTCTGCCCACCCCAGCCTGAGCCCAGTTTTCCCAGGACCTTTGGGTCAGGGTTCCTGCTCCTCCCTTTTCCTGACCCCATCTCCAGCTGCAAGGAATGCAAGGCTCTTGTTGCTGGGAGGATGTTGCATCAGAGGACCCAGCTGTCTCATTTTGGAGGTGAGGAAACTGCGTCCCAAAGAGGGGCAAGGATTGGTCCAGGTTGCACAGCGAGTCCTTGCCAGTGTTAGTACTAGAATCCGGGCTTCCTGAATCCGGGCCTCAGGTTCTTTCCCACCGAATTCCTACTGCCTGTTCCTCTGGGAGTGATTCAGTCCCTGATTTCCACACTGCATCAAGTCCCACCTCCTGAGTCTCCGCCTCTCTGCTTTGCTGGTGGAGACTGGGGTTGAGTTCCTGCTCTGTCACTCCATTCACTGACTCTGTAGCTGCTCCCTGTACAGAGCTGGGCTCTGCTGGGCATGGGGACACAGAAGACTCAGCCCTGGTCCCTGCTCTTGGGTGGGTTCACCACCTGATGGATCCTGCTAGACTTGGTCCCCTTCTGCCTGTGGGACCACAGACATACTTTCTCAAGCTCGCTGAGTCTCACTTGCCACATCTGCAAAACGGAGCTGTTCACGTGATAAAAAGTGGTAAATTATGGTTGAGTGTGAGGGATTATGGACTCTGTTCTCTCTACTGGGGCCCTTTTGGGGCCAGGCCCCAGTGTTCAGAGTGGCCTGCCCTTCAGGAAGCTTCCTCGAGGCTGATAGCCCCCTCCACCTAGAACAGGATGACCTGGTGACTGTTGGTCAGAGCTGTGATGGGCAGGTGCCCTTCCAAAAATCCAGAACAAAACCCCATGTCCCTTATCACACTTCTATTCCAAGAAGTCAGCTACGAGTTGGAGCCGTAGGGCACATGTGAGCTGGCCCGCTGAGGGCTGTTGGGCACCAGAACGAAAGCCAAGCTGGGCCTCAGCGCGGGCTCTGCTCTTAACTTGCTGGTGACCTCAGCCGAGCCGAGGCCCCTACCCTACCCCTCAGGCCTCAGGCTCCCCTTCTGTTCAGGGAGGGTTTGGCCTTGGTGACCTGATGTCAGGGCTGACACTCTGTGGAGTTGTGTGATCCCCTGTCCCCCACCCCCTTTCCCAGCCTCTTGTCAATGGTTGTGTAATGACCTCCAGCTGTACCCACCCGCCTGCCTCTCCGCACTCCCTTCTTGGTGAAGCTCTTTGCTCTCTGCCACCAGAGCAGCTCAGCTCACCCAGAAAGCATCCCTTCTCCCAGCAGAGGTGGGGCTCGTGTATTAGCATCAGCCATGGGGACCACTGGCTACCTGGAAGAGGGTGGGCAGTGCCCAGGTCACCTCTCCCTGAAGTCTAGGCGGGATCTTTGAAGAGGGGACTAGGAAAGACTCGCTGAGCTTAGAATCATCTGTCTGTCCATCTGCCTCATTTCACAGATGTGCCTACTGAGGCCAGAGAGGAGAGACTGTCCCAGGGTCACAAAGCAAGTCAGTAGCAGGTCTGGGATAGGAACCGGGGCTGTCTGCTTCAGGGCCCACGTTCTCTCTTCTGCGATCCTCTGCCACTGTGCCCTGCTGTGTAAGTTTAGGCAAGTCTCTGTTCTTCTCTGGGCCTGAGTTCCTTCCTTTATATGATGCCAGAGTGGGACAAGTCTGTCTGAATACCATTCCTGCCCTGGGAGGCAGGATGTGAGGAGTGACTTGCCAGAGATGTGTCCCAGGCTCGTGCTAGCCAGCAGGCCTGGCACTCTCTTGTGCTGACACTTTGCCATGGAAGACAGGAGACATGAAAGCAGGCATGTCAACAGAGCCTTCATCAGCAGTATCCTTCCTCCTGTCTCCAGGACGGACACTCTCTCCAGCCCTGGGGGAGGGGAGCGTGGCATGAAGACAGAGCAAAGCTGTGTCAGATGCCTGCATTCCTCTGGGTACCGTGCAGAGGGCCGTTCATCTGCACTGTGCCCCGGGCTCCTCATTTAACCAGAGGTCCCACCAGATAGAGACTTGGTGGAGGGAGGAAATGATTTAAAGTGCCAGCCAGGGTTCCACCCAGTGACATATCTACATCCCAGGCCCAGGGACAAGCACAGATGGGTGGCCTAATCTAGAGGTGGAAGATGATGCGCTCTGACCTCCGGGGAAGCAGCAACTCCTTTCTCTGGGCCTCAGTCTCCACCTCATAACCAAAGGAATGGCCCAGATCAGGGCTCTTCCAGCCCATTCTATGCTTTGGGCTCGCAGGCCCAGCCGTCAGCTCAGGAGCAGGTTTCCAGTCTGGTACTGGCTGTCTCAGCTCTTACCGCAGTACTTGCCTCTTCCTGGGAAGCTGGCACGAGATGTGTTTTCATTCCAGCTTTACTGAGAGCTCATGTGGTGGGCACATCTGCTCTTTAGGGGCCAAAACCTCAGAACAACTGCCACGCAAAGCTCGTGTACAGCCATGCTCCTTTCAGCCCCCTCGCTACACCTCCCACTAGCCATCGTCAGGCTGCTGCTGTTCCCCATTCATGTGGTCAGCCTAGGAGTTGGAAGGGTTTTTGAGCAGCTTTAATCTGCTTGCCAAAGGCAAAGTGGGAGAAAGAGTAGAATGTCCTAAGCAACAGGGGGTAAAACTCAGGGTCTTGCTCACACACGTACTGGCAGTTACAGAGCTGGGAGTGGTGCCAGCCACCCTTGGTTCCATCCCCTTCGGGCCTCCGTCACCTGAAGATTCAGATTTCAGTTTCCCAGAGGCCAGCTACTGGCACTCCCTCCCCCAAAACTAAGCACAAGGTCCTTCCCTCAGCCAGGAGGTTCCCAAATCTGGAGTTGTGGAAAACCCAGGCTCTTGATACTCTGCCAGTGGCCGGCAGCTCTGCCTCCAGCTGGCACCAGTGCAGGGAAGTGGGCACCTTCGAGCACTGCAGGTGGGAATGTCATTAGTGTCACCTTTTTAGAAGCAGAGCAGCCCACCAGACCAAAATGTTCATTCCCTTTGACCCAGGAATTGTATTTCTAGAAGTTGGTATCAAGAAAACAATACGATTTGTGGATGCACGTAAGATATTTAGGGAAGGATTTTTTCTGGGGGAAATTCTGGAAGCTTTTCAAAGGTCCATCAATCAGGGTTTGATGACAGTTCTATGACATGTGGCATAGCTGTGTGAGAGAATAAAACAGCCGTGAGAAGACATGTTATTGAGGGATTTTGGTAAGGAAAAATAGCTATGAAATGCTTGGTAGAAAATTATATACGAATGATATCAACCATAGCACCTGAATTTTGGTGGTTTTTTAAAAAAGAACATGTCTATTTGAGTAGGAAAATAACTCATCAGTGGTTTATCCGGATGGAGATATGACAGGTGCTTTTGATTTTTTTTACTTTCCTGTATTTTTAAAATTCTCTATGATTATTCGTTATTTTTCTAATTTAAAAAAAGTGATATTTTCTGAACAAAATACCCTTGCTCTCCATCCTTCTCAGCACCCTCACCCGCATTGTGTTCCGTAACGCTGGGTAGGTGCCTCTCATTGCCCAGAACTTAGGGAAACTTTGCATCACCCACCCCACCCTCCAAGCCACGGGCCCCAGGGCAGGGGGTGGGCCCCGAGGAAGCCAATCGTTGTTTAGAGCATCCCGGGACAGCTCTGCTGATAGTAGCACGGGTCAGCTGCCCCGGCTGTACAGCTGCCCTCCCCGCCCCCTGTGACTGTTGCGTGCCCTTGTCCTTCCTGCATCAGAGGCCGGGCTGAGCCTGGCTGCCTGGAAGGAAGTTTCCATTCAGGCCAGCTGCACTGTCCCTTCTCTGGCCAAACTAAGGGACTTGGACTTTACCCTGATAAAGAGGGCTGGACATCCCCCCTTATCTGAGAGTGACAGGGGTTGGATTTGGGATTTAGAACAGTCTCTCAGGCTGTGGTGAGGAGGATGGGCCCAGAGAGGGGGAAGGCAGGAGGCCAGCAGAGTGTGCATAAGAAGACCTGGTGTGTTTGGCTGGAGAAACAAGGGAAGGAAGAGAGAGAGAGTTTCCCATCCCCTTCCCGTGCCGAGCACCTGGCACTGTGGCCTCAGTGGTGAGAGTCTGAGGTCAGGTATAGAGAGTCACTGCAGTCCTTCGGGCCCAGAGCCCCAGGGAGCATGGCACACCAGTCCCTCCCCTACCTTCTAGGGGTGCCCCAGTACCCCTCTCCTGGCCAGGTTCCTCTGACCCAAGGTCTTCCCTGCAGCTGGTGAAGACGCACAACCTGCTGACCACCAGGAACTACATCTTTGGATACCACCCCCATGGCATCATGGGCCTGGGTGCCTTCTGCAACTTCAGCACAGAGGCCACGGAAGTGAGCAAGAAGTTCCCTGGCATAAGGCCCTACCTGGCGACACTGGCCGGCAACTTCCGGATACCAGTGCTGAGGGAATACCTGATGTCCGGAGGTGAGAATCCACCTCTGCCGGCCCCTGCGGGGCTGCATTGTGAGGCCTGAGCCTCTCCATTGAGCAAAGTGATAGAGAGGCCAGGAAGCCAGTACTCCGTGCCCCGGTGGCCAGTCCTGTGTGGAGAGGTGCAGCCTGCTGCAGGCTCAGCGGGTCGGGGCTGAGCAGGAGAGCTGTTCATACGGTCTTCAGGATTCAACTTGGATAACGTCTTTCTAGGAAGCCTTCTCTGGCCCCTTTTCTGGGCACCCCCAGCCCCTGTGCTGCCCTCTGCACAACCTGATCATTGTCCTTGGCTCTGTCATTATCCACCCGCCTTTGACCCCCGCGGCCTGATTCACTGGGATCCCCGGCACTGGGCACCAGCCTGGCAGAGTTAGGACCTCGGAATGTTTGCCAAATGAATGAGTTCCCTAAACAACCTTGTATCGTTATCCCCATTTTATAGATAAGCTGAGGCTCAGAAAAGCGAATAGCTAATGCAGGGCCACGCAACTCCTGAGTGGCTGGGTTTGGTCTGGGGCTCAAGTCCAGGGCTCTTTCTCATTATACTTAACTGTGTGCAGGGGGTAGGGAGTGCATCCGTGGGCAGCCTGACTGTGTGTCCCCTCCTTGTCCCCAGGCATCTGCCCTGTGAACCGGGATACCATAGACTACTTGCTTTCCAAGAATGGTAGTGGCAATGCCATCATCATCGTTGTGGGGGGCGCAGCCGAGTCCCTGAGCTCCAGGCCCGGCAAGAACACGGTCACCTTGCGCAACCGCAAGGGCTTTGTGAAACTGGCCCTGCGCCACGGGTAGGTGCCTCCCTACACACACACGCATGCACATAAGCGTGTACATACACACACAGCCCTCCAGAGCTTGCTTGGCCCAGGGCAGCAGCTCCTTGGCTCCTGGAGGCAAGGCCCAGACCCCAGGAAGGCATTGAAGGGAGTTTGCCATCCTATGGAGAGGGGAGGTTGGAGCCCAGAGGTTCAGGCCAAGTTTGTCCAAGCATAGCCTGGGTGTCTGGGAGAAAAATGCAGCCTCTGTCCCCTGGGCCCTTGCAGGTGGGTTAAGAGGTCAGGCTCATACGCAGGACTGTGCCCTGGGGCCAAAATGTGTCATGCCGCTGGGAGAGCAAGAGGCCAGGAAGGAGGATGGCTGGAAACATCAAGGAAGGCTTCCTGGAGGGGTGACACTGAGGACAGGCAGACAGGAGCTGGGCAGCTTGGATTTCTGTGACCTGTTCTAGAAAATCAGAGGCACATCCTGTGTAGCCACCTGTGGGGCACGTTTCATCTGACAGAGCACGTTCGCTTCTGTGGGCCCCTTTGATGCCCCTGCAGGTGATGACATCCCCATTCTCCATTTGAGAAAAGTGAGGAGGCTACGTGACCTGGGCAGGGCCACACTGTAAAACGCAGAGCCAAGCTCTTCAGACTCCCTCCCATATCTGGGGGACCCCAGGAGGAAAGGCCCTGGGGTGAGGACCTCCAACAGTAACGTGGCTGGGGTGGGAGAGGGTGCGGCCTGCAGTCACACACAAGTTAGGGGTGGTGCTAACTACAACGTCTAGGCTCCCCCCAGCCCTTCTCTGTCTCCTCAGGGCCTTACCTTGGGCTTCAGAAGAGGCTGCTCTTCAGGGCCTGCCCTGTGCCAGGCCCTGGCGACACAATCAAATCAGATCCAGTCCCTGTCTTCAGGGTGGGGGAAGTGGGGAGAGACAGACAGCGACAATACAGTGTACTGAGGGCTGTGACACAGGACTGAGAGAGACCTGGGTTCGGAGTGGGACAAGGAGAACTTCCCAGCAGAGGCAGGCCCCAAAGGATGGGAGAGAACAGGCATTCTAGAACAGGGCTCTCACCCTTCCCTTTGCTTAGTGGTCCCAAAACCCCGACGTGCTCTCCAGTCTCTAATGGACACAGAGGGCCCACCCGAATGTATGGTGAGGGAACTTGTGGTTTGGGATCCCTGGGTGATTCTGCTACACCCCTGGGGGAGGGGAACTTGGCTGGTGTCCAGGGCCTCTAGGCTGACAGGAGGAACTGAAGCCGGTGATGGGAGTGTGACACATCCTGGCTTCTCCCTTCCAGAGCCGACCTGGTTCCCATCTACTCCTTCGGGGAGAATGAGGTGTACAAGCAGGTGATCTTTGAGGAGGGCTCCTGGGGCCGATGGGTCCAGAAGAAGTTCCAGAAGTACATCGGCTTTGCCCCATGCATTTTCCACGGCCGAGGCCTCTTCTCCTCCGACACCTGGGGGCTGATGCCCTACCCCAAGCCCATCACCACCGTGGGTGAGCCTCCCTGCCTGCAGACCCTGGACTTGGGGTGCCACACAGCTACTTAGTGGGGGGTTAGGATTCAAATCCAGGCCGCCTGGCTCTGATGTCCATGCTCTAAACCATGAGGACATGTTTGGGTGCTGATGGGAATGATTGGTGGGGGCGGGCCGTGGGGGATCGTTCCATTACTATGAGCCCAGCTGTGCTAGGCGAGAGAACAAGACCAGCAGTTCTGTGTGTGCAGAGCAGTCTATCAGGGAAGACCCTCGTGCAGCAAAGACCCACAGGTGTGAGGGGGATGTGCAGGGGGTTCTGGGGGGTCATGGTGGGCCCCAGGGAGGAGGTGACTCTTACATTATCAGCTGAATAGGAATTATCTGGCAAAAGAGGGGAGGAAGAGAGTTTTTATCAGAAACAATAGCCTAGGGGCCGGCCCGGTGGCGCAAGTGGTTAAGTGCGCCCGCTCCGCGGCGGCGGCCCGGGGTTCGCTGGTTCGGATCCCAGGCACACACCAACGCACCGCTTGTCAGGCCATGCTGTGGCGGCGTCCCATATAAAGTGGAGGAAGACGGCCATGGATGTTAGCCCAGGACCAGTCTTCCTCAGCAAAAAAAGAGGAGGATTGGCAGATGTTAGCTCAGGGCTGATTTTCCTCACAAAAAATAAAAAAGAAAAGAAACAATAGCCTAAGTGGAGTTCCAGCAGCAAGATTGTGTAGATTTTTGAGGAACAGAAAGAAAAGAATCAACAGGACTAGAGCAGAGGCCTGTGAGAAGTGTGGCAAAAACTTGGCTGCGCTTGGCCCTCAGCTGTTTTGGGTTTATTTGGGACAGTTGAGAGGATTCCAAAACATTACCCATTGGAGGTGTGTGTGTTAACGATTCACAAGCTGGAGATCACACAGGAGCATGTGGGTCACGAGCCATGGACTTTAGGGGACAAAGCTCACATAGGCACTTCGAGTTATCAGAGCCAGCAGTTCTGCTTTGTATTTATACATAGAGACTTCCTGCATTTTAGGTCACATGACCCAGACTCACACTTGACTCTCATTCTACACAAATCTCCTAGCAGGTCTGATCTGTGTGAGGCATCAGGGATCTTTCCATGCACAGGGGTGGCTGGAGAGGGTGGGTCCTGTGGGCCGTGTGAAGGAGTTTGCTCTTCACCTTAAGAAAGGAAAGCTACTTGAGGTTTTTAGGGAGGGGAGGTTCAGATTTGCGTTTTAAAGTGATCCTTGGGTCCGGCCCAGTGGCGCAGCGGTTAAGTGCACGCGCTCTGCTGCGGTGGCTCGGGGTTCACTGGTTCAGATCCTGGGCGCACAGCGACGCACCGCTTGTCAAGCCATGCTGTGGCGGCGTCCCATATAAAGTAGAGGAAGATGGGCACGGATGTTAGCCCAGGGCCAGTCTTCCTCAGCAAAAAGAGGAGGATTGGCATCGGATGTTAGCTGATGGCTGGTCTTCCTCACACAAAAAAATAAATAAATAAAGTGATCCTTGGGGCTGCTGGATAGAAAGTGGGTTAGAAAGGGCAAGAGTGGAAGCCACAAGACCAGTCCAGAGGCTTTTATGGTAGCAGGTGTCTTGGACCGAGGGAATAGCAATGGAGATGGAAGAGAAGTGCATGAACTTGGGAGAGATTTCAGAAAAGTCTTTGACAGGACTTCAGGATGAGTGGGTATGGAGGTAAAGCAGGATGAGAAAATGAAACAATGCACAGATGGATGAATGTTGGTCTCCTCCGCCCTCTCCCACCCTTACTACATTTTTCAAAGCATGTCACGTTATTTCACAGAATTCTCAGCAAAGCCCTATGAGGAAGGATGCCCATGTGATAGATGAGGAAACTGAGGCACAGAGAGGCAAAGTGACTTGCCCAGAGCAGGACAAAAGCAAAGCCATTACTCCGTCCCATAACTTTCAGAGGAGTTGCCAGCTGAGTGCAGTGGGAGCAGCCAGTCTTGATCCCACCCACTACTTAGTGGCTGTGTGGCCTTGGGTGGGGCCTGTGTGCCCTTAGGCCTCAGTCTTCTCATCTATAAAAGGGACACCCTAAGATGGAGCACATTCAGCACAGTTCCTGGCACATGGTTGGCACATAGCACAGGGTTGCTGCCATCAACATCATGGTACATGCCCAGGGAGGGTGGGCCGAGTGGATTGACTAACCAGAAGCCTTTGCCCCATCCCTGCAGTGGGTGAGCCCATCACCATCCCCAAGCTGGAGCACCCAACCCAGCAGGATATCGACCTCTACCACGCCATGTACATGGAGGCCCTGGTGAAGCTCTTCGACAGGCACAAGACCAAGGTCGGCCTCCCGGAGACTGAGGTCCTGGAGGTGAACTGAGCCAGCCCTCAGGGACCAGTCCCCGGAGGAACCAGCTGCAAATCATTTTCTACCAAGTTCTCGAGTGCTTTTGTTCTGTAAATTTAGAAGCGTCATGGGTGTCTGTGGGTTATTTAAAAGAAATTATAATAATTTTGTTAAACCATTATAATGTTAGGTCTTTTTTAAGATGGAAAAAGTGAATATTTCACAGTCTTTCACTTCCAGTTGTCCTGTTCTAGGTGGTGGCCAACACATCTGGGTCCTTTATGGTTGCTCAACCAACCCCTCTACTTCCCTTCCCAAAAATGCAGAAAAAGCTCCGTCCTGTTAACTGGGGAAGAAGGACAGCCATTAGTGACTCAAACCGGTTAGATTATTTGCTCTTTGCCCCTGGGATGAGGGGCAGAAGCCACTGGTAATACAAACACCTCTATTCGCAGCTCCCCCAGCCTTGACTGCAGGACTAGTTCCTCTTACCAAGGTGAAGACTCGGAGGGTACAGTTTTCCCATGTTGAAGAGTGCAGGGATGAACAGCTGGAATGCTCCAGCTTAGTCTCTTTTCTGTCACCAACCCCCCTCCCGCCCGTCTTTCAAACCTGAGCCTGGACTGGCCTTGAGAGCAAGAAGGGGAGTGGCAGTGATCCCGTGCTGGGGAGCAGAGCTGTCTCAGATGCAGCATCTTTTGAATTATCCAGCCACCCCATTCTCCTTGGAGTCACTGATTTTCATCAGGGGGCTGACGCCGTGGACCCAGCCCTGACTTAGCCTTGGCCTGGATCACATACTTCCCAGTGGCCTTGGTTTGTTTAACCCACACCCCAAGTGTGGTGTGAGGAAGAGGGTGCTCTTCCAGTGCACAGAGGGGCCTGGTCTTCTGAGCAGCAGATTGGTTCCAGGACAGAAGGCCCCTCAACCCATGTCTCACATATTTGTGCCTTTCTGAGAGGGCGGGGGCCAGCCCCTCCTCAGAGTTCTGTTTTTTCTTGATCATTATACATGTCAGACGTTTGTATATTCCTAAATGAATAAATGAAAACGAGAGTCCTCTATGAGTTATTGCTGGGGTTGCGTCTGCGTCTTGCCCCTGACACTTGGGGAGACCACGGCCCCATCTGAGCTGCCTGCCGAGCCCTCTCCCTCTCACTCCGTTGGCCCACACGGCCCCGTGTGGCATATTAGTTATCTATTGCTGTGTCACAAACTACTCCAGAACTTAGTGGCTTCAAAAAACATTGTGTCCACAGTTTCTGAGGGTCAGTGGTCGAGGTATGGCTTAGCTGGGCCCTCTGCTCCAGGGTCTCTCTCAGGCTGCAATCAAGGTGTCGGCTGGGCTGCCGTCATCTCAAGGCTTGACTGGGAGAGGATCCACCTCCAAGGTCATTCACGTGGTTGTTGGCAGGATTCGCTTCCTCACTGGCTGTTTCCCGGAGGCCACTCTCAGTTCCCTGCCACATGGGCCTTTCCGTAGACTAGCTCGCACATAGCAGCTGGCTTCATCAGAGAGGGTAAGCAAGAAGAGCCAGAGAGCGAGTGTGCAAGACGGAAGTCCCAGGCTTTTATAACCTAGTCGAAGAAGTGTTATCCTATCACTTTTGCCATATTCTGTTCATTAGATGCAAGTCACTAGGTCCAGCGCACACTCAAGAGGATTACACATGGAGTGACTACCAGGAGGCAGGGGTCCTTGGAGCCCCTTCACAGCTGCCTCCCACGTGTGGTAAAGAGCTACTGTGCAGCTGGAAGGGTCCTTATTGCTCAAACCGTGTTCCTTGCCCCTGGCCTCAGTTATACCACGAAGGGGGAGACCTGGCTTGCTGTCACTCTAGTGACGTCCTGCCACACCCAGCTCTCACAAGATGCCACCTCTCTCTGTTCTAATTCCATTCAGTTCGGTGAGTATTAAGCACCTGGGAACCCTTCCCAGCTGAGACTAAAGGACTTCATTCCAACTTTCCCACTGCCTGAATGCCTGTCCTTGCCATTTATCCACCCCAGTTGTTCCTCTGTGCCAGAAGCTGTGAACAGGCTGCTTGGGAGCTGAAACAAACATTAGAAACAGCTGAGGATACATAAGGTGGTCAAAGCTGTGACAGATGCTGCTAACCCAACCTAGGGTGCCTCATTGACCTGAGACCCCACTGCCTGAGCTGGGACTCAAAGGGTGACTGGAAATTTTCCAGGAAGGAGTTAAAGGTCAGATCAGCAAGTGCCGATGGGGCAGACAGCATTGTTGATTTGAACGACGGAGGTGGCAGTAGAGAGGTCTGCAGTGGGGCTTCACTTAGGCCGGGGGAGTTGGCTTCTCCTGAGTTTCTAGGTGGGCAAGAGGGCAGGGCAGAGAGAGGAGGTGCCCTGGAGGGGCCGACAGAGGCTGGATTCTGTAGCACCAGGAAGGCCTCAAGCCACACAGCTCAGGTCAGCGGACAGACATTTCCTTTAGGTTGGAGGAAAGGCCTATTTTCTGATGACAGTCTCGGCCCCACCCTAGCCCCACCTGGGGTTAGCAGTGACCCTCAGCCTCTGGCTACAGTTTAAGCCCTGGCGCTAATCTAGGCTACCCACAAAGGTAGGCCATTACTCTCAGCATTAATTTTGTGAAGATTGAACATTTACTGTGAACTAGAGATCTCAGCCATCTCTGCCTAAGAACAGCGACAATACCCAGGCCCCACATCCCAGAGGGGCCACTTCACCCAGGGCAGTCATGTCTAGCAGTAGCCTGTGCAGAGCAGAGGGCAGCCCAGCTCTAAGTGGGGGGAGGGACGGGGGCGGGGCACGGCACGACACTCTAGGTAAGTGCTGTGAACATTTCCTTGGGTTGGGAGTTGTTATCTTGGGAGAAGGAACTGGAACCTCCTTTTGCAGAAGACCCTCTGCCTTTGGACAGTGAGAGTGGGGCTGCAGTCTCAGCCAGAAGGTCATCAATTCCATGATTCTGCTGTTGTTCCCAGATATGGCCACTAGGGGGCACTGAGGATAGTTCCGAGGCAAATGGGGCACAGCTTCCTAAGCTTTCTTTTCACATTTTGACATTTATGCAGCTCCCTGGGCTAGAAGCTAGAGATAGTCAAGTCAGAGACTCACCAAAGCTCAGAGCTAGACAGGAACTAAGAATTCATCTAGAACAACTCCTCCTAATTTGGAAACCTTGGCAGAGAGGCCGAGGGACTTGCCTCTAATCACATGACAGGGAATGAAGGGCTGGCTTCCAAATTGAATGTCCCTTGTTCTTAGGTGTTTGTAATGTAATTAGGGAGGCAGAAATGTAAAGCACTCATCTTTTTAAAAACCTTTGCCTCCTTTTATATTCCCTGTCTAGGTTCTAGATGTCACTACTGCCCACTCCTGAGCAGAACCTTCCATCCAGTCACAGTGGCCTGTTCTGTCCTCCTTCCCACCCCCACTCCAGTCCCTGCCTGCCAGTGCTACTGTTGAGATTTTCATCTCTCAAACCGTTCGCTCCTGTCTCATCCCTAATAGCATGTACTAATGACACTCTGACGCTGCCATTACCAGCTGCATTACCATGTCACTGAACTCTGAGCCTTAGCTTCTTCATCTGTAAAATGGGAATAATCTATATTCTTGAGTAAATGAGATAATGTGTATCTAAATATATGCCATATATAGAAAGTATTCATCCCAGGACTTGACCTATAATCCTGCAACAGTAAATGGTAGCTGTGATCATCACCATCACTGTCATCATCACCAGCATCATTATCATCACCACTCCTTTACTGGGTCTCCCTGACCTATTGAACTGAGTTCTCTGTTTCCAGGCCCCTCTCCAGTTCACTATACCTGCAGCAGCCAAAGTGGCCAGCCTTCCTTACTTTTTCTTAAATAAAAGTTTTATTGAGATATAATTCACATATCATAAAGTTCACCCTTTTAAAGTATACAATTCAGTGGTTTTTAGTATATTCACAAAGTTGTGCATCAATGACCACTCTCTAATTCCAGAACAATTTCCTAGCCCCTAAAGAAACCCCATACCCATTAGCAGTTTATCCTCATTACCCCCTACCTCTCAGCCCCTGGCACATCTCTAATCTGCTTTTCTGTCTCTGTGAATTTGCCTATTCTCAACATTTCATATAAATGGGATCATGCAATATGGGGCCTTTTTTGTCTGGCTTCTTTCACTTAGCATAATGTTTTTGAGGTGCATCCATGATGTAGCATGTGTCATGAATCAAATGTATCATTTGTCTTTTGAGGCACAAAAGTTTTTAATTTTGATGAAATCAAATGTATCTATTTTTTTCCTACGTGCTTTTATATCTGAGAAGCCATAGACCAATCCAAGGTCACAAAGATTTACTCCTATGCTTTCTTCTAAAAGTTTTAGAGATTTTAGCTGTTACATTTAGATCTCTGAACTATTTTGAGCTAATTTTTGTATATGGTTGAGGTAGGGTCCAACTTCGTTCTTCTTCATGTGCATATCAGCTATCCCAGCACCATTTGATGGAAAGACTATTCTTTCCTCATTGAATTGTCTCAACACCATTGTCAAAAATCACTTGACCTTAAATGTCAGGGTTTATTTCTTGATTCTCAATTCTATTCCATTGATCTATATTTGTATACTTACTCCAGTACCACACTGTCTTGATTAGCTTTTTAATAAATTTTGAAATTGGGAAGTGTGAGTCCTAACTTCATTCTTTTTTGCGATTGTTTTGGAGATTAATTTTGTTATTGTATTTGGTTATTCCCCTGCATTTCCATATGAATTTTCGGATCAGCTTGTTAATGTTTGCAAAAAAAGGCAGCCAGGATTTTGATAAGGATTACATTTGAATCTATAGAACAATTTGGTGAATATTGCCTTTTTAACAATATTAAGTCTTCTGGATATCTTTCTATTTATTTAGGTTTTCTTTAATTTCTTTCAGTAGTGTTTTGTAGTCTTCAGTATACAAGTCTTGCACTTCTGTTAAATTTATTCTGAAGCATTTTATTCTTTTGATGATATTGTAAATGGAATTGTTTCTTAATTTCATTTTCAGATTGTCATGTTAGTGTATAGAAATACAACTGGTTTTTGCATATTGATCTTGTATCTTGCAACCTAATGAACTCGTTTATTAGTTCTGATTGTTTCTGTATGGATTACTTAGAGTTTTCTGTATACAAAATCATGTCACGTATGAATA